GAGGAGGAAGAGGAGGAGGAGGAGGAGGAGGAGGAGGAGGTCTCCCCTTCTTTCTCCTCCACCTCCTCCTCCTCCTCGTCCTCGTCCTCCTCGTCGTGCTCCTCGTCGTCTTCCTCCTCGTCGTCCTTCTCGCCCTCCTTCTCGCCCTTCTCCTCTCCCTCGTCCCCCTTCCCCCACCTGCTGCCCTGTAGGGGGCTGCTCGCGCCCGCCACCCCGCCGCCGCCCCGGGGCGAGGAGTACAAGTCGCTCTGGGGCGCGCGCATCCTCTGGCCTCCCGACATGCCGGACAACATGCTCGAGGATTCGACGGTGGACGAAGGGAGGTGTCCAGAGGAGGAAGACGCATCGATCTCGCTACACTTCCATCGCTTTCGCCTTTTCGGGCGTACCGGCAGGCCCTCGTCGTCCCCACGGCTGGATTCGCCTGGGAATCCTGGTCAGAACGCACCCCAGGAGAGGTCTGGGGAGTGGCGATCTGGCCTCCAGACATGCTGCCGGACAACCTGCTCGAGGACTGGTTTCGCTCGGGCGGGCGTACACGGGGGGGGCAACACGGACAGGAACTCCTGGTCAGCGCGTCGCGCTTCGCCTGTCTAGGCACACCGCGCTTCGACGCGACAGGCTACTCACGCCCGAGTCCCCGAACATCAGCTTCCCGAGCGTTTCCCGACCTCCAGACCCAGACCCCCGACGTCATGATTTTTTCATTACGTCGACCCCCAGAGGTCCCGACCCTTTCCCCATGACCGGCTTTGCATCCTGAGCCGTTTTTTGACGCTCCCGAGGCCCGGTGAGGGCCCCCGGAGGCCGAAAATTAGGAAAAACCTCCCGTCATGATTTTTTCATTACTCGAGGGGGTCTGGGGACCCCGCGGAGCGGATCGGCACGCCACCCGCACGCCAGCCGCGCGCAGGGCGCACCGTGCCGCCGCGGCCGCTCCGCCGCGAGCGCCAGGGGGGCACCGAGGGCTGCAGGGGAGCGGCCCTGCAGGGGGGGCCCGAGAGAGGAGGGTCGAGGAGGAGGAGGAGTAGGAGGAGGAGGATCGAGGAGGAGAATCGAGGAGGAGGATCGAGGAGGAGGAGGAGGAGGAGGATCGAGGAGGATCGAGGAGGATCGAGGAGGATCGAGGAGGAGGATCGAGGAGGAGGAGGAGGGAGGAGGAGGAGGAGGAGGAGGAGGAGGAGGAGGAGGAGGAGGAGGAGGAGGAGGGAGGAGGAGGAGGAGGAGGAGGAGGAGGAGGGGAGGGGGAGGATCGAGGAGGAGGATCGAGGAGGATCGGAGGAGGAGGAGGAGGAGGAGGAGGAGGAGGAGGAGGAAGGATCGAGGAGGATCGAGGAGGAGGATCGAGGAGGAGGGGGAGGAGGAGGAGGAGGATCGAGGAGGGGAGGAGGAGGAGGAGGAGGAGGAGGAGGAGGAGGAGGAGGAGGATGAGGATGGCGCTGCCACCGCGGGCACGCAGGGTGCGCGACGGGTGCTCGTCTCGTCGGCCCGCGTTTGCAGTCGGACCGAGGTGCAAGATCAAAGGCGGTTCGGGGAGGGTACCCCTACGGTTAAGTCGGGCCTGTCCCTCTACAGGAGGAGGAGGAGGAGGAGGAGGAGGAAGAGGAAGAGGATCGAGCAGGCTCGTTTCGTCGGCCCACGCTCACAGTCGGACCGAGGTGTAAGATCGAGGTCGGTTCGGGGAGGGTACCCCTACGCTTAAGTCGGGCCTGTCCCTCCACAGGGGGAATATTCCTAAATAGTCCACCAATCGTCGGGGGGCTATTTATTGTGTTTTTGTTTTAAATTCATGTTGGAGTATTTTTCGCCTATTTTTTATGTTTCGTCGAAAATCCCCCTGTAAGGGGGACACGCCCGACTTGCTCCTACGGTGGGGGCATTGGTTAAGGGCTGCGCCCGAGAGGCCGCAGACCCTGGGGGATTCCTTGCTTGACGAGGGCGGCGGTGGCAGCCATGGCCAGGCCTCAATTGGAGCTCCACCGGTCTCCAGACCCTGCCCTGACTCCAGATCCGCCCTACTTTGGGGAAATTCGTAGGTAGGGCTTGGAATTTCCGCCCTACTTTTCAAGCCCCGCTGATACCAATTTCCGCCCTACTTTTCTGCTGCTGTTTCCGCCCTACTTCTGTGGATTTCCGCCCTACTCTATGTTGGGTGCAAAAATTTCCGCCCTACTTTTTCGGCTTCTTATAGGTGGATTCCCGACGCAATTTTAAGTTGGGGAAAAAGCCAAAGTAGGGCGGATCTGGAGTCAGGGATGGCCAGGCCTCAATTGGAGCTCCACCGGTCTCCAGACCCTGGGTTCCTTATCTAAGTCGAAAACTGGAACGTATACATTACCAGTGGCGGGCTGTTTTTTTAAGTCCCCGGATTTTCTGAGGGTCGGGGACGACGTCGGGGTGGTGTGGTGTGCACCTGTTTCCCCGTTTTCCTGGGGAAGCAACGCAAAATGTATACACCAGGATCCCGTATACACCAGGATCCGCGTTCCTATGCGAATGTCAGTGCAGGGCGGGAAAAAGCGTCAGTGTATAGAGTTTGGCTCCTCACTAAGGGTTCCTTGTACCCAATGCCCCCACCGTAACGTTCTTCGCGTTCGTTGGACGCTCTGGCGCATCATCCTCGGGGTGGGCACCCTTGGATGCTCTGTGTGTGCTGGCCGGCGGAGGGTCGCATGTTCTCGAGGGGTGCTCTTCTGGCCTCTGAGTCCGACTGTATTGCCCCCCGCACGCCCGCTTCCAAGAAGAGGAGCGGCACGCACATGCACTCCTCCCTGTGCAGCACTCTTCTCATACACCCCGGAGTGTCACAGAAGACCGGCTTTTTCAATTGGGCCACGCCGTGTTCCCAGACCCCCGACGTCATGATTTTTTCATGACGCGACCCCCAGAGGTCCAGACCCATTCCCCGGGACCGGTTTTTCATCCCGAGTCGTTTTTTGACGGTCCCGAGGCCCGGCGAGGGCCCCCAGGGGCCGAAAATAACGAAAAACCCTCCGTCCTGATTTTTTACGACGCCATCATGTCTGGGACAGCTTCGGAGCTCCGCGCGGACTGCTCGGGTCGGCGAGGGCTCCCCGGCTCCCCTGGCGGCGGCTCCTCCGGCGGCGCGGCGCGCCCCGCGCGCCACGGAGGGGGGGTCCGGCGCCGACCCCAGGCATTCGCGCGGACCTCCTATAGTTTTTCGTTGGCGTTGTGTCGGGCGTGTCCCCCTAAACGGGGATTTTCGACGAAAAAATATAAAGTACCCGAAACATATTCCAAAAAGGTCAACAAAAATGCAAAAAATAGTCCCCAGACTATTGTTGGATTATTTTTTGCTTATTTGGGGGGTATTTTTTTGTTTCGTCGAAAATCCCCCTGTAGGGGGACAGGCCCGACTTAACGTTGGCGGGTGAGGAGCGGTACGTGCCCAGGGATCAGACGCCCCGAAAAAATGGGAGCGGCGGGTTGTTGGCTGTTTCCGTCTCCTCGGGGGGGCCCTCGCCAGGCCTCGGCACAGTCAAGACCGATTCGGGAAGTGGTCCAGACCTCTGGGGCCCACGCATCGAAACAGCTGATATTCCCAACCATCCTGTGGTGTTGGGTCTTCGTTTTGAATCAGCAGCGCCTGGCGCCTCCTCTTTTCCTCTACTCCTCCCTCCCTCCTCCCTCCGCCCCATCCCTGCCTCTGCCTTGCGCGTGCACATTTTGGCACACCCTTCACACGCTCCGTGGCCGCATAGGGAACTCCACTTAAAGCCCAGCAGCACCGTCCACATGTGAACGTCACGCCCGTTTCGGCGCGCCCCTCACGGAACTCCTCCGCAGGCCCCAGGAGGCACCGTCCACATGTGGGTGTCACTCCCGTTTCGGCACTCACCTCACCCGCTTCGAGTCCCCATAGGGAGCTCCTCCGCAGGCTCCAGCGACTGCGTTCGCAGGGCGTCGCCGCACCCATGTCGGCGCACCCCTCACACTCTTCGTGGCCCCTTAGGGAGCTCCGCCGAAGGCCCCAAGGCTGCGCTCGCACGGCGTCGCCGCACCAATGTCGGCACACCCCTCACACGTTTCGTTACCCCATATGGAGTTCGGCCGAATGCCCCAGTGTCTACGTTCGCATGGCGTCGCCGCACCCCTGTTGTCGGCACACCTCTCACACGCTTCGTGGCTCCATAGGGAGCTTCCGCCCCAAGGCTGCGTTCGCAGGGCGTCGCCAAATATAGATTTATGTGTATATTATATATATATATATGTATATGTATATGGCACGCTTCGCACGTTTCGTGACCCCACAGTTAGCTCCTCCGTAGGCCCCAGTGGCTGCGTTCGCATGGCGTCGCCGCACCCCTGTCGGCACACCCCTCACACGGTTCGTGGCCCCATGAGGAGCCCCTCCGCAGGCTCCGGTGACTGCGTTCGCAGGGCGTCGCCGCACCCATGTCAGCAAACCCGTTCGCAAGTTTCGCAGCCCCAGAGGGAGTTTCCGCCGCAGGCCCCCGGACTGTGTTCGCAGGGCGTCGCCGCGCCCCTGTCGGCACACCCCTCAAACGCTCGGTGGCTCCATAGGGAGCTCCGCCGAAGGCCCCGGCATCTGCGTTCGCATGGCGCCGCTGCGCTTGGCGCGCCCAGCACGCGCCGCGTGGCCCCGCACGGGGGCTCCGCCGAGACCCCCCCGGCGACAGGGCCCGCATGGCGGCACTGCGCCCATAATCGGGACATGCCTCGCACGCTGCGTGGCCCCGCGGGGAGCTCCACGCCCCTGTGGCGGAGCCTGCGGGCGCAAGCATCCCGGCGCATCCCGCTTTCCAGTTCTCCCGCGCTACAGCACGTCACTGGCTTCTTCTTCAGGCGACGGCGAAAAACGGCAGTCAGGCACACCTGCTCGGCAGTTGTTCAAACAGCGTCATATCCACCGCTTGCTGCACGAAATGGACGGGGTTGATGACGACAGTGGAGCAAAGAAGGGAGGCAAAAGAGGGGATAGGACGACAGGGGAGGATATCATCATGAACGCAGGTGCGATGGTGAAGCACGAGGGTATCACGATGGAGTCGATGGAGAAACTCTTCAAACTACACCTTCGTCAAATACAGGCGGACCTCGAGGCCATCAAGGCGCACGGTGTCTCCCAGAACGCCCTCGATGAGGCGGTGAACCCGCTCAGGGAGGCAGCCAAGAACATCACCACCCGAGCTGCCGCCTTGGAGGCGAAGCCGTCACGTCCAGCATCGGCGCGAAGCGTGGCAGTCGCATCGACGGGGACGGCAGTGGAAGCAAAACTACACGAATTGGAAGCTCAGGTTGCTGCACTCCGACTTTCCCCCACCAGTCCTCGACGGCAATGCCCGGTGGCGAAAAACGTCATCTTACTGGAGTCTTTGGCAACCTGGACGGCTTTATCTCGCTTTCTTCGGCTACCACGTGGTTGAAAGAGCAGTTGCAGACCTGCTCAGGTCCGCATTCACAATAGATATTCCAGAGGTTAATTTTCTAATCTCGTCTTTGCCGAGTTTGGAGACACAGACGAGAAATATACTGCCGTGGCTCTTATTCGAGAGGCTGCCCTGCAGCGCGGTGGAAATAATGTTTGGGCAACCCAGGACAGGCCCGCTCAAGCTCGGGCGGCGCGAAATTATTGCTTTGGCGGCAAATCCCTTGTCAAAAAACAGTTCAATCTTACATGCGCGATCAGGGTGGTGGACCAAGAACCTTGCACCAAACACGTCGGAGGGAAGTTGGCGTTGACCGTGCGCGCCAACAACAATGACCTGGTCCCACAGTGGGAGTGGAATGACATAGTTGTACACAGTGTAAGGAGTCCCCGGATCTTCAAGATATCTCCGGCAAGTCAAGTGGAAGGGTATCTTTGGGCGCTCTTCGAATGAATTGAATTGAAGAGGCATTCCGTCGCACAAGGCACTCGGGGCCACGGCCGGTGTCGACCCAATCCGGCACCTGAGCCGACGATGCGCAACTGATTCAGTAAAATTTCTCTAGATTCTCCAGATTCATTACAATTACGAGTTCTCAAGAAAAAATGTGGCGTCGCTGCGCGTCGCCTCGTTTCTTCGCCGCTGTTTGGCCAAGTGGCGTGGGCCATTGCGCCGCGGTGGTCGTGTTGTCGTTCTTCGTCCGAGGCCCTGGGGCCCTGCTGGCCCTCTTGAGTTCCTTGCAGGGAACAAAAATTGTTTTGGGTGTTGGGTGATGTTGTCCATTGCTGTCTGCAGAACCCCGTGTGGCAGCGCTCCGGGCAGCCCGTGGCGCCCCCAATGCGCGTCGATTCTTTAGCGGGCGCTGCGGGTCAGGGCAGAGTTTCCCCCGTGCCAACTCGACCTGTGGAGCCGCTCGAAGATCCCAGTCGTTGGAGACATCGCTCCAGCAACACATGGGGATGTGCCAAACGCAATTGCACGCCGCCCATCGAACAAGTTGTTGCAACATGGAATGTAGAAGGTTCGGGAAAATAGTTTAGCCATCTACCTGTTTCATCATGCGACTCGCCTCGGCATCGGCATTACTTGCACGCAAGAGACAGGCATCGCGGAGACGTCGAATTTCTTGGGTACTTGTTTCGTAGTCATCCTTTCAGGGGCATCAGAACATCGCGAGGGGCGCTTCTATGCTGGCGTCGTTTCAGCATTTCACCGCGCGCAGTCTCGGCCGCGGTGAGTTCCAAGCTCGTGTCGTGACACGCTCGTTGCATTGAAGATGAAAGTGCACGGCCGGAGTCCTACGGTCATCACCTGTTACGTTTCACGCGCTAGACATAGTCTTGAGGATCGACAGAATTCTTCGATTTTCTTACGAGCGCATGGCGGCCCGCAGGCAAGCGCAACGCGACAATCGCAACTGGCGACTTCAACGCGAAGTTCTTCGACGAAGAACCGGGGGAAGATGCGACGTTCGGCGATGGCGTCTTCGAGTCGATGGGGCTGGAGAACCGGGAGATAACGAACAGAGGTTTATTCATGGAAGCCTCTGCCGGGCTACCGAGACGAAAGTCGCCGGCGCATTCTTCGAACTGCCCTGCGACCCATTGATGGCGCGCGGTTCGCCGCAGGCGCAAAAGATGGATGCCGCCCGCGAGGAGGTTTTGCTCCGATCGACCACTGTTGGACGGGGGCCGGCACGCTGTGTTAGATCCGGAGTCCGAGGCCCGCCGCCGCGCAGAGTGGGAGCGATGCACATGGCCGACTCGGACGCCGCGCAAGAGTAACTATCAAGGTGGCATCCGTACCGCAGCGGGGGCGCAGAAGCCTACTTTGACGCTGGGACAACACGCCGAGAACATCCGACAAGCAAGGGCGCGCGCATCAGGGGGGCTGGCAAACATAATTTACTAGGCGCATCCGGGCATCTGCGAAGAAAGACAAGCAGCGCTGGCTGGGCGACAAACTAGCTGGCGGCCCCTGGGCAGCAGCGCGTCGCCTTTGGAAAGGGCTCGCCAACAAGCTCGCTCAGATGCGCGGCGCTGCAGGGCGCCAGGTGGAGAGCAGCGCGCGCGCAGACGCGATGGCGGACTATTTCGAACACTTGCAGTGGAAGGCAACCCGCCCGGGACTCGCGCCGACCGGGGCCCAGGAGATGGGCGCCGCTTTGCCGATGCACGCGAGCCCGTTCGACATGGGTCAGCTCGTCGCAGCCTTGAACCCCCCCCCCCGTGGGAAAAGCGCCCAGGCTTGACGGCGCCCACCCGGAACTATGGAAGACGCGGTTGGGATCGCAAGGGGCCCTGCAAAGCACATTGCCATTGTGCCAGAGGCGCTGGAGAGAAACAAATGCCCCGCGCGAATGGCGCGCGGCGCTGCGCTGCAATAGTTTGGGCGGCAGCCTCCCAGGGAGCTACCGGTCGATGTCTCCTCTTCCCATTGGCTATAGCTGATATTACAGCGTCGACGCTGCAACTGCACCTCCAACGCGGCGGCGCAGAGGGCAAGCCCGGACAAGCCCATTTTGGCTCGATGCCAAAGAGAGGCGCGGCGCAGGGATGTCGATTGCCAGGCGGATGATCGAGGCAGCCCATGCTTCGAGGTCGCCCGGGCTCGCGGCGGTCCTATTGGACTTGGCGAAAGCGTTGAACAGGATCAAGCGCGATGCTTTGCCGCAGGCGTTGCGGAGATTTGGAGTAACCTGGCCGCGAAGTGGACATGATTGCGGGCATCTACCGCGAACGGAGTTTCACTCTCCAGGACCCAGCGAGGGGCTCGATCGCGTGGCTCGCTGTCGCCGCGCCTGTTCATCATCGTCTAGGCCATGATTCCCAACCATCCTGTGGTGTTGGGTCCTCGTTTTGAAGAGACAGCGCCCCGCGTCCCACCTCCTCTCCTCCTCCTCCTCCTCGCCCTCCTCCTCCCCCCCTCCTTGCCTCTGCTCTCGGCACACCCCTCACACGTTTCGTAGCCCCATAGGGAGCTCCACCGAAGGTCCCAGTGGCACAGCCCGCATGCGGTTCCCCACCCAGGGCAGCGTTTCGTGCCCCATAGGGAGCTCCACCGAAGGTCCCAGTGGCACAGCCGCATGCGGTTCCCCCACCCAGGGCAGCGTTTCGTAGCCCCATAGGGAGCTCCACCGAAGGCCCCACCCCGCATGCGGGGCCGTTAGGGAGCTCCACCGAAGTCACAGCCCGCATGCGGTTCCCCCCCCAGGGCAGCGTTTCGTGGCCCCATAGGGAGCTCCACCGAAGGCCCCAGTGGGGGTGTTCGCATGCGGTTCCCCCACCCAGGGCAGCGTTTCGTGGCCCCATAGGGAGCTCCACCGAAGGCCCCAGTGGGGGTGCCGCATGCGGTTCCCCCACCCAGGGCAGCGTTTCGTAGCCCCATAGGGAGCTCCACCGAAGGCCCCAGTGGGGGTGTTCCGCATGCGGTTCCCCCACCCAGGGCAACGCTTCGTGGCCCCATAGGGAGCTCCACCGAAGGTCCAAGTGGCACAGCCCACATCTCCACCGAAGGTCCTAGTGGCCCAGCCCGCATGCGATTCCCCCACCCAGGGCAGCGCTTCGTGGCCCCATAGGGAGCTCCACCGAAGTCCGCAGTTCGCATGCGCCCCCCCCACCACAGGGCAGCTTCGTGGTCTCATAGGTAGCTCCCCTGAAGGTCCCAGTGGCGCAGTTCGCATGCGCCCCCCCCCCCCCCCCCCCAGTACAGCGCTTCGTGGCCCCATAGGGAGCTCCACCGAAGGTTACGGGGCTCCCCCGAATGCGATACCCACAACTGCATATGGTTGGGTCCTTCGCCAGGCTAATTTTTGTTCGACGCCGACGCGCGGATGGTGGGAGAGCGCCCCACAGTGCAGGCGCCGGACTTCATTCCGTGCGCTGATTTGCTCTACGCGGACGACGCGATGATCGTTGGCAGCTGTGCGACCAAGCTTCAGACCCTTTTCGATGTGGTCATCGATGAGGGTAAACGGCACGGGCTAGAGCTTAACTGGACCAAGACGGTCCTCATGAGGATTCGCAATGCTGGATCTCTCCGAGACCCGCGCGAGGAGCCGCTGATGGAGGTAGATAAAGCGTATACGGGGGTGGTCTTCTCAACGCCAACTGCCTTGCAGCCCCTGGAGTCGCGCGCAGATTCGGAGAAACGAGAGGGGTCTTCAAGTCCCTTCACAGATGTTGGTCGCCCGCGAGCATAACCCAATCGAGAAAACTCAAACTCTATCGATCAGTTGTGGTACCGGAGCTTTTGTGCAATTTGTAATCTGTTTGGGCCCGCATGGCCGACAGGGACAGGTTGAGTGCGTTCCATGCGCAATGCCTTCGAAAGATCTGCCGCATCCCGTGCGCCTACGTCTCAAGAGTGTCGAACCGCAGCGTGCTGGAGCAGACTGGAGAGCACGATCTGAGCGAGGACTTTCTCGAGCGCCAGAAGAAGCTCTACGATTCAATTGTTGCGCAGTCACGTGACCATCCATTGCTCAAGCTGACATGCAATCTTAACATATCCCAACTCTGAGGAGCCCAGAGTTTGGGATGGAAGCGGCACGCGCCGGAGGCCCAAACAGCAACGAGCACACTGCGTCTACGCCCTTCTGCCGCGACAGCGACTCCAGGCCCCGCATCAGCCGTTTTTGTTCGACGCCCCTTCTTCCCCCTCCCTTTCCCTGCCTGACTTCCGGCCTCCCGTTGTCGTCTCCCTCGGTCTCCCTCGCTCCGTCCTCCCCCCCTCTCGTCGTCGTCGCTGCCGTTGTCGTCGTCGTCGTAGGTGGCCGCGCCACGTGGGAAACTAAGCAGCCATTTGCGCAGCTCGCAACGCAGCATCCGCCACAGGTGTACAAACGTTTTTCTGACGTGACCAGCCGCCGTATCAAGATAGCACAGGCTGCAGTTGGTCGGCGGCCCCTCTTCCCCCGTCTTTTCCCTTCCCTTGCCTCCCTTCTGGCCTCCCGTGTCGTATCCTTCGTTTTCTTTCGCTTCGTCCTCCCCGCCCTTTGTCGTCGTCGTTGTCGTCGTCGTCGTCGTATGTGGCCACGCCGCGCGGGAAAACTCAGCGGCCAATTGCACAGTACGCACGCAGTGCAACATCCGCCACGGATGTATCTTCGTTTTTCTGTTTGACCTCCCGCGGCATCAAAGCAACACTGGCGGCAGAGCCGCAGCCGATCGATGTTTTGTTTCACCACTTTGCCAGTGCACATCTGCACGGCTTCTTCTTTGCCGATGCGCCGTCGAGGCGCCTGGTTTCGGCTTCTCACCTTCGCACGCTGGGTGGCCCCACAGACGGTGGCAGCGCCGGTGCCCACATGGCGACACCGCCCCATGTTGGCACACCCCTCACAGTCCCCCCCCGCACAGGGACGTCCCTTCCAGGAGGAGGAGGAGGAGGAGGAGGAGGAGGAGGAGGAGGAGGAGGAGAGGAGAGGGAGAGGAGGAGGAGGGGAGGAGGAGGAGGAGGAATAGGAGGAGGAGGAGGCCCCATGTTGGCACACCCCATCACAGCCCCCCCCGCAGCCTGCCTGTGGTTCGGTCCTTCGCCGGGCGTCTTGTTGGATGTCTCTGCCGCCGGGCACGCCTTCCCCGTGGCGACGGGGAGGAAGGCTTACACCCCGACGTGCCACCATCTGGGTATAAGCTTTCCAGCCGCCCTCGAGCAGGCGTCCGTGGCGGCGGGGGGAGGAGGAGGAGGAGGAGGAGGAGGAGGAGGAGGAGGAGGAGGAGGAGGAGGAGGAGGAGGAGGAGGAGGTGGAGGTGGAGGAGGAGGAGGAGGAGGATTAGGAGGAGGAGGGAGGGGAATGGGGAGGGTCATCGCTCCTACCTCCACCTCCTGAGCAGTTTATGTGATACCGTGTTTCGTTTGCTGGCTCCCCTTTGTGCGACTGGTTCGTTGCCCCATGTATTGAAGAGGTCTACGCCATACCGCCGACCTCCAAAAAAAGGAAAGAAGTCCACGGATGATGCCTGTTGGGCCATCTTGGGGGACATTCTGGGGGCCTTTTTGGAGCCTCTTGTTTTTCAGGCCCGTCGGGAATTCTTTGAACGCCTGCTTGCGGTCTCGGGGGTCCTCTAGGGGCGGCGAGCTCGGACTGTCATCGGCGGCGAGCGAGGGGGGAAATGAGAAGGAGAAGGCCTCATCAGAAGGCGGCGGGACTTCTCAGAAGCCCTCGCGTCTTCTGAGAAAGTTTGTGTCTTCGGGGAAGGCCGAAGAAAACTGCTCGGAAGTGCCCAAGCCCCGCCCCCTCTCACTTCCCCCCTGAACTCGCCGCCGATGTCAGTTCGATGTGCCTCTCTTGGGCCCCCTTTGGAGGCCCTGTTGTGGGGCCATCTCGGACGCCTCTTCGGCCGTCTTGGGACCCTCTTCGGCCGCCTTGTGGTCCTCTTGGGGGCTTCTTGGGCCCTCTTGCAGCGATACTGGGGGCCTCTTGGGCCGTCTTGGACGCTGTGGAGACCCCAAAGGTGGATATGCTGAAAAGACTGGTTTCCAGAAGGGTTGGGACGATGTGTTTCCTGGGGCCCTGTCCGGGGT